CAGGCTGAGGCTGAGGCCGAGGCTGAAGGCAGACTGAGGCTGAGGCTGAAGCAGGCTGAGGCTGAGGCTGAGGCAGGCTGAGGCTGAGGCTGAGGCAGGCTGATGCTGAGGCAGGCTGAGGCTGAGGCTGAGGCTGATGCAGGCTGAGGCTGAGGCAGGCTGAGGCTGAGGCCGAGGCTGAAGGCAGACTGAGGCTGAGGCTGAAGCAGGCTGAGGCTGAGGCTGAGGCAGGCTGAGGCTGAGGCTGAGGCAGGCTGATGCTGAGGCAGGCTGAGGCTGAGGCTGAGGCTGATGCAGGCTGAGGCTGAGGCAGGCTGAGGCTGAGGCCGAGGCTGAAGGCAGACTGAGGCTGAGGCTGAAGCAGGCTGAGGCTGAGGCTGAGGCAGGCTGAGGCTGAGGCTGAGGCAGGCTGATGCTGAGGCAGGCTGAGGCTGAGGCTGAGGCTCATGCAGGCTGAGGCTGAGGCAGGCTGAGGCCGAGGCTGAAGGCAGACTGAGGCTGAGGCTGAAGCAGGCTGAGGCTGAGGCTGAGGCAGGCTGAGGCTGAGGCTGAGGCAGGCTGATGCTGAGGCAGGCTGAGGCTGAGGCTGAGGCTGAGGCAGGCTGAGGCTGAGGCAGGCTGAGGCTGAGGCCGAGGCTGAAGGCAGACTGAGGCTGAGGCTGAAGCAGGCTGAGGCTGAGGCTGAGGCTGAGGCTGAGGCTGAGGCTGAGGCAGGCTGAGGCTGAGGCTGAGGCTGATGCAGGCTGAGGCTGAGGCAGGCTGAGGCTGAGGCCGAGGCTGAAGGCAGACTGAGGCTGAGGCTCAGGCTGAGGCTGAGGCTGAGGCAGGCTGAGGCTGAGGCTGAGGCAGGCTGGCTGAGGCAGGCTGAGGCTGAGGCGAGGCTGCTGCAGACTGAGGCTGATGCAGGAGCAGGCTGAGGCTGAGGCTGAGGCAGGCTGAAGCTGAGGCTGAGGCTGATGCTGAGGCAGGCTGAGGCTGAGGCTGAGGCTAATGCAGGCCACTGCGACTGTCATCGCGAATGCGACTACGACTGCGAGAACAGCAGAACTCTACAACTGGATTATCATCTGAATCTTAAGGGGGATGCTTCCAGATATGCGCCTACACATCGCTGTTAGGTTGCTTTGCCGGGATAATTCAGGCGTGTGTCCGCTTGGCCCCGCATATCTCCCCTGTTCCTCCTTCCTCCCGCCTCCTTGTACATCCTCCTTGTGGGGGGAGCGGGAGAAGGACGAGGCGGAGGAGGAGGGAGAGAAAGCGCTCCTCGTGTGTGAGTCGTTCGGGCTCCTCGTGGTGTGAGTCGTTCGGGCGCCTCGTCCTGGTGTGAGTCGTTCGGGCCCCTCCTTGTGGTGTGAGTCGTTCGGGCTCTTCGTGGTGTGAGTCGTTCGGGCCCCTCGTCCTGGTGTGAGTCGTTCGGGCTCCTCGTGGGGCCTCTTGGGGGCCTTTTGGAGCCTCTTGGGGCCTCTTTGGGGCCTCTTGGGGGCCTCTTGGGGGCCTCTTGGGGGCCTCTCGGGGCCTCTTGGGGCCTCTTGGGGGCCTCTTGGGGGCCTCTTGGGGGCCTCTTGGGGCCGCTTGGGGGCCCCTGATGGGGCCTCTTGGAGGCCTCTTGGGAGCCTCCTGGGGGCCTTTTGGGGCCATCTTGGGGCCTCTGGCGACCTCCTTTGAAGGGCAAATGAGAGCTGCCCCCTGGGAAGGACAAAAAGAGCCCAAAACCTGCGTAAAATCAATGATTGTGCTATAAAGGACGATGAGCGCTGCCCCCTCAAAATGCCAAAATGGGGCCACAACACTAGTAAAATCAATGTTTTTGGCTTCAAAGAAGAGGAGAGGGGCCTATCTCCCTCCCCCCGTCGGGGCCAGAATCCTCGTGAGGGTCGTCGTTGTTTGGCCCTCCCAGGAGTCGAAATTGACCCCCTCTGACGACCCGCGGGGGTCCCTCTCCAGGCCCAGGGGGAGGGGGTAGGGGGAGGGGTAAACCCCTCCCCGAAGGGGAAGAAGGGGGGTTGAGGACAGAGAGAGCTCTCTAAACCACTCACGCCCAAAGCGCTGGTGGGATTTCAGCACACCCCTCACATGCTTCGTGGCCCCATAGGAGCTCCGCCGAAAGTCCCTGTGGCACAGGTCGCATGCGTCCCCGCCACTCATTTCGGCACACCCCTCAAACGTTTCGTGGCCCCATAGGGGCCCCGCCGATGGTCCCAGTGGCACAGTTCGCATGCGTCCCCGACATTCATTTCGGCACACCTCTCACACTTTTCGTGGCCCCATAGGAACTCCGCCGAAGTCCCTAGTGGCACAGCACAGTTCGCATGCGTCCCCGCCATCGGCACATCCCTCACACGTTCCGTGGCCCCATAGGAGCTCCGCCGAAGGTCCCAGTTGGACAGTTCGCATGCGTCCCCGCCGCTCATATCGGCACACCCCTCACACGTTTCGTGGCCCCATAGGAGCCCCGCCGAAGGTCCCAGTGGCACAGTTCGCGTGCGTCCCAGTCATTCATTTCGGCACACCCCTCACACGTTTCGTGGCCCCATAGGAGCTCCGCCGAAGGTCCCAGTAGCACAGTTCGCATGCGTCCCCGCCATTCATTTCGGCACGCCCCTCACACGTTTCGTGGCCCCAGAGGAGCCCCGCCGAAGGTCCGAGTGGCACAGTTCGCGTGCGTCCCCGCCACTCATTTCGGCACACCCCTCAAACGTTTTGTGGCCCCATAGGAGCCCCGCCGAAGTCCCCAGTGGCACAGTTCGCATGCGCCTTCGCCGCTCATTTCTGCACACCCCTCACACGTTTCGTTGTCCTATAGGAGTTCCGCCGAAGGTCCTAGTGGCACAGTTCGCGTGCGTCGCCGCCATTCATGTCGGCACACCCCTCACACGTTTCGTGGCCCCACAGGAGTTCCGCCGAAGGCCCCAGTGGCACAGCTCGCATGCGTGCCCGCCATTCATTTCGGCACACCCCTCACACGTTTCGTGGCCCCCTCGGAGCCCCGCCGAAGGTCCCAGTGGCACAGTTCGCACGCGTCCCCGCCATTCATTTCGGCACGCCCCTCACACGTTTCGTGGCCCCATAGGAGCCCCGCCGAAGGTCCCAGTGGCACAGTTCGCGTGCGTCCCCGCCACTCATTTCGGCACACCCCTCACACGTTCCGTGGCCCCATAGGAGCTCCGCCGGAGGTCCCAGTGGCACAGTTCGCATGCGTCCCCGCCGCTCATTTCGGCACACCCCTCACACGTTTCGTGGTCCCCGTGGCGCAGTCCGCATGCTCTTCCCTCACTCAGTACAGCTTTTCGTGGCCCCATATGGAGCCCCACCGAGGGCACCCGTGGCGCAGTGCTTATTATGTTGTTCGTTTTCGTTCGCGTTGTGTACCACGCCATTCATTTCCGCACACCCTTAGCACGGTTCGTTGCCTCACAGGGTCACCACCGAAAAAGTGAATCACAATTGCGGTATTCACACCTGCATATGGTTGGGTCTTCGTCAAGTTCCTTGTGGTTGTTGTTGTTGTTGGTGGTGATGGTGGTGTTGTTGTTGTTGCTGCTTGTTTGTTGTTGGTTGTTTGTTGTTTGTTGTTGGTTGCTGTCGTTAGTTGGTGTTGTTGGTGTTGTGGTTGTTGTTATTGATGTTGGTGTTGTTGTTTATGTTGTTGTTGGTATTGTTGGTGTTATTGTTGTTGTTGTTGTCGTTGTTGTTGTTTCTGATGTTGCTGTTGTTATTGTTTGTTGTTTGTTGTTTGTTTTTTTATTGTCGTCGTCCCATCCGCGACACACCCGCGACCCACCCGCGACCCACCCCGCGACCCACCCGCGACCCATCCGCGACCCACCCTCGACCCATCCGCGACCCATCCTGCGACCCACCCGCGACCCACCCGCGACCCACCCGCGACCCACCCGCGACCCATCTTGCGACCCACCCGCGACCCACCCGCGACCCACCCCGCGACCCGCCCCGCGACCCGCCCGCGATCCACCCCGAGACCCCCCTGGCGACCCACCCGCGACCCACCCCGCGACCACCCCGCGACCCACCCCGACCCACCCGCGACCCACCCGCGACCCATCCTCCGCGACCCACCCGCGACCCACCCCGCGACCCGCCCGCGATCCACCCCGAGACCCCCCGGCGACCCACCCGCGACTCACCGGCGCGCGACCCACCCCGCGACCCACCCGCGACCCACCCCGCGACCCACCCCGCGACACACCCGCGACCCACCGCCACCCACCCGCGACCCGCGACCCACCCAAAATTTTCGGCGCGTGCGGCGGGTTTTTTTTTAAGTCGTTTCAGGAATCTGCGACCCACCCGCGACCCAAACCGCGTTCAGTGTACAAATCAAAATTTTTGGGCGCCAGCGGCGGACTGTTTTTGAATTCCTTCCAGGTGGAGGTGGAGAGCCCGCGACCCACCCGCGACCCAAACTACGTTCACTAAACAAGCCACAAATTCGGCGCCTGCGGCGGGCTGTTTTTGCATTCGTTCCGGGTGGCCCACGAGCCATCCCTCCCGCGTTGAATTTGTCAGAGCATGCAAAGCGGCGCCTGCGGCGGGCTTGCTCGCATTGGTTTGGGAAAGCGCCCCTCGTGCGTCGCCCGCGCCCGCCCCCTCACTCGTATCCGCAATTGCGGGGTGCTATATATATATATATATATAATATATATATATATATACATATATATATATATATATACACATATATATATATATATGTATTCGGACTTCCACGGTGGCCGAAACATCACCACCAACACCAAAATCTGGGATCAGCTCCCTCCAGTTGGGGCAGACCCTGGTGCTGGTGTCGGTGCCCATTTCCAAGCCTCCCGTTCGTGCCATATGTCGGAGCAGCAAGAACGGCCGAAACATGAACTTTTGGCGCTCCGCGCGGATTTCTTGGGTCCGCGCTGGGCCCCGCCGGCGGCGCCTCTGGCGCCGCCCCTGGCGCGTGGAGCGCGCCAGTGAGGGGGGTCCGGCGCAGATCTAAGAAATCCGCGCGGAGCGCCAAAAGTTTATGTTTATACCGATTTCTCTCCTCATATTGGAGGTCATCGTGGAGGCAGATTAGGCCACCGTTGGCATTTTCATTGGTCGTGGGGCGCCCCGTCCAGACCCAGGAGGGATCGGAAGATGACACGCGGCAGACCACGTTGGCCGTGAAATGGCTGGTCGGTTTCGATGCAACAGCTTGGGATCCGAATCCACGAAGTCTCAAATGCTTTGTTTCTTTTTCATCGTGTGGCGCTTTTTTTTTCCCTGTGTGCATTACTCCCCCAGGCTGGCTCACTGGGCGCGCCAGCTATTCGTTGCTGGATGGTGGTGTTCTAATCAGCTTGGCGACGCGGTGTCGCATCCATAACTTCAGCTGTGGGATTTGAGTAGGCTGGGTAAAAGCAAGCCGTACTCTGCACGCGTTGACGATGGACACCAACAGGGGCATGTGGAGCGGGAGCGGTGGCTGGGATGTGGGGAACGATTTGAGACCACAGCCGGACGGGGGTATAAGAACGATGTCGCTGCGGGGAGGGTACCCTAATGCTATTCGTGTTAGTTGGAATCTCTTGTGCATCTTGGGGGACGGTACCCTCGAATATTCTGCAGTTTGGCCGGCGGAGGGTTCCATGTTCTTGAAACATGTTTTTCTGTCCTAGGTCCAGCTGTAGCCTGTTGTACATCTCTGAACTCTGGGCTTCTTCCGCGGCGCGCGCCTCACGCTGCGAGACACGTGCAGCAGGGACAGGGGGATCAGATCTGCTTGCCGCCAAGATGACGTGTTCGCGTTCGAATTTCAGGGCCACGGGCTGGAAGGACGGCTCTCCTCCGCTTTGTTTGCGTAGCGCGCGAGGCAGCACCGTGTGTATGGAACGTGCAGCAGGCTGGCAGCAGATTCTCTGGGTGTGGTGCATACGATAAATCGACTCGAAGATCGGGACAAAATCAGATCGGGATAACTCGAAATCTCTGAGAATCGGCGGGTTTGGAGGATGTATTGGGCGCCGCGGCCGCTCCAGAGCGTTCCGGAACGCTCTGAGAGCGCTCCGGAACGCTCTGGAGCGATTTATCCCGATCCTAGCCTTGTTTTATACGATGGTGGCGAGCTGGCAGTAGCAGCGATGGCGGCTCCCGTGTTCGCCGGGCGCTCTCTACGGAGGCGGTGGCGGCCGCGGCCGCCAACGGAGGTTTAGCACCGTGTCCGCGATCACGCGACCGGGCGAACGCGCGGGCTCTCCAAGGGCATGGTCGCGATGAGCTCTGGTAGTGCTTGTTGTGTGTGCGTGTGCGTGTGCGCGGTCGTGTGTGTGTGTGTGTGTGTTTGTGTGTATGGGGCACGCCGCGAATCACTGCGTTTTCCTGTTATCATGCCCATCCTCTTCATCGGCTTGATCTTTCTCCCATCATCACCCCGCCATGCCATCTTGTTTTATCGCCTCTCTGGCCCAACCCTGTTTGAAAGATAAGGGAACCTCCAAATGGGCAGCGATGTCGCCAACCACCCAGATGCCTTCTGCTATGATTGCAATTCCAGCGTTGCTGCAAGTACGCCCGCAGGATACGGCGATTGCGGCCCCCATCCTACACGGCGGCGGCGCTAGCTGCGGTGCATAATCCTGGGCCACTTCCTGGTTGGGCCTCCCCAGACATTACTTTCATCACGCACGGGACCTTCAAGAGCCCCATCCAGGGCTTGCGTGCGTTTGGCCTTCAGACGCCTCAGACGACACCGAGGACGCTCCGCCAACCGACAGCGCGCACTGGAAGGCAACGACGGATACCATGCAGGCATCGCCTCCACCCCCCAGCTTGCCCGGTGTGTCGGCTCAGGCCACGGTGTACCGTCCCGTGTAGGCTGGGGTCGCTGGGGCCACACGGGCAGCATTGTGGCAGCATTCATTCACTTGCTGGGGCAACCAGGCAGCATCCCGAGCCCCATGTTCTTCCGCTGAGGCCACAGGGCATCGCCACACAGCAGCATTCTCTCGCGCAGGCCGCAGGGTAGCATCCCGGGGGCAATGTCCCCAAGCTGCGACGTTCGAGGACCCCCAAAAAGGGTGGTGACCACAGCGTGTGGTGAGTCGGTGGGGATTCGGGGTCACCGCACGGTCTCGGGGCTTGGGCCGTTTTTCCAGGACGTCTCGGGCGACTGGGACCTCCAGGGTCCCAAGACCGTGCGGTGAGGGACCGTGCGGCGAGGTCGCCTGGGGTTCCGAGGTCGCCGCACGGTCTGTCCCCACACGGTTTGGGGATCCCCAAGTGCAGTCGGGCCCGTGGAGAAGGAGCCATGTTCGTGGGGGAAGGGCTCAGAGTTCCCCAACCGTTTTACGGCTCGTCTCAGGTTTTCCTTGGGTCTTCGATGGGGAATCAGAGTTCGGCTTATGGAAAAAAGGAGTTTCGCTCCTTGTTTAGGGTTCCTTATGGCAGTGTTTCGACTGTAGCACCCGTGGCGATGCTCGGTCTCTGCGGCAGCAGGGCATCATCCCGCGGCGCCATCTTCTGCTCGGGCGGGGGCAGCTCCGCGGTGGCCGCGGCTCGCTCCCGCGAAGAAAACCCCACCTTGGCCGCGCGAGCACCGCAGGGCTCGCTTCGATTCCTCCGATCCAAGTCGATTGGATATTCGACTCGATTCGATGGATTCCGATTCCGACTCGATTCGACATAGGATTCCGATTCGGGTTCCGATTTCTCACTGGACGATTGGTACTGATTCTGGGCCCTCCTGGTTCGATTCGATGTTGGGCTTTCCTGGTACTGACAGAGAGTCGTGGGCACATCTTGCTTTTTATCGAGGCCTCCCAGATGGGTCAGAGGCGATGGGATCGGCGCTTCGCGCCGCATGGCCGATGCATGAGCGAAGCGGCGCTATCCTCTGCCCGGACCCAATTTGGGAGGCCTCTTTTCTAAGTGGGAGCCAGGGAGCCGTGTCCAGCGGCATGGTTTCCAGTGCAAATGTTGGCCAACATGTGCATCACCGAGTGCCAGAACTGAGAACGCTGAGGCGCCACCGCGCCACCCGTCTCGGGACGGCTTCCGAGCCGATGGAGCACGTGCGCCAGCACGCAGGAGTGAGTACATAGCACCCCGCAGTTGCAGATACGAGTGAGGGGGCGGGCGCGGGCGACGCACGACGGCGCTTTCCCAAACCAATGCGAGCAAGCCCGCCGCAGGCGCCGATGTGCATGCTCTGACAAATTCAGCGCGGGGGGGAATCGCTGGTGGGCCACCCAGAACGAATGGAAAAACGGCCCGCCGCAGGCGCCGAATTTTTGGCTTGTTCAGTGAACGTAGTTTGGGTCGCGGGCTCTCCACCTCCACCTGGAAGGAATTCAAAAACAGCCCGCCGCAGGCGCCGAACAAAAAATGATTTGTACACTGAACGAGGTTTGGGTCGCGGGTGGGTCGCAGGTTTCTGGGACGAATGCAAAAGAAGCCCGCCGCAGGCGCCGAAAATTTTGGGCGGGTCGCGGGGTGGGTCGCGGGTCGCGGGTGGGTGGCGGTGGGTCGCGGGTGTGTCGGGGTCGCGGGGTGGGTCGCGGGTGGGTCGCGGGCGGGTCGCGGGTGGGTCGCCGGGAGGGTCTCGGGGTGGATCGCGGGCGGGTCGCGGGGTGGGTCGCGGGTGGGTCGCGGGTGGGCCGCGGGTGGGTCGCGGGTGGGTCGCGGGGTGGGTCGCGGGTGGGTCGCGGGTGGGGTCGCGGGGGGGTCGCGGGTGGGTCGCCGGGTGGGTCGCGGGTGGGCGTGGGTGGGTCGCGGGTTGGACGTCGACAACAAACAACAAACAACAAACAACAACAACACCAACAGCAAGAAGAATCCGCATCGCGGAATTTCACTTCAGCCACGCGCCCAGGGACAGTGAATGACCGTTCGGTTCAGCCCCCTCGCTCTGATGTTCGCACAGTCTCCACGATGCGTCCATATTATATGATCGATCTTGACAACAGGCCCCGCTTCTGCCATTGTCCAGGGACTCGTCGAGGTTTTGCGTGTGCTGTCCATGTCACGCGGCTGATGCTTTTATGGCACCCCCCCTTCGCGTTGCAGGACTCTGATTTCGAGAAGCCTATCATCACAGTGGGTGCGCCGTACACCAACACGATGCCTTGCAACAACCAGGTGGGGACAGGGAATGATTTGAATTGGGACGTTGAGGCTATGAAGCTACAGCATTGCCACAGCTGTTCGGTGTGGGGTCGAAGCGTCAGATTCAGAGCAGCATTCAACATCTAATGATACTTTGGCACTGCGATCTGGAAGGACGTAAGATAGCCTGTGGGCCTTAGCTTTACACTTCTCCAGGTTGCCGCATGTTTCTTGCGGCTGCTTTTAATGTGTACATGGGTTTTCCTCATTCTGCAGATCAGCTGAGTATCTAGTTGCCTTCCGTCCTTCCCGACACCGTGCCAGGGTTGAGTTGCCCTTGTTGTCCTCTTGATGGTCTCTGGGGGCCTCTTGGGGACTTCTTGTTGGCCCCAGGATGCCTCTTGTAGGCATCCTGTGGCCTTTCGGGTATGGGAACCTCACGGGGCCTTTAGAGGCCTTTTGGCGGTCTCGGTCCCTAGCACTCCAGGGCTCCCGCGGCCAGTTCGTGTTCCCCTCTCCAGGCCCCGGGGACGCGCAAAGAAGAGTTCAAGAGCGCCCGGGAGCGCCCAGAACACTAGGGTCTGCCCCTCCTCCAATGTCTTGCAATGGCCTCTAAGCCGACGTCTGGGGAATCGAGATCGCCCTAGCTTGCTTTACTGTCTTAGCGAAATGTCGTGAACTAGCTTTTTTTTCTGCGCTGTGCATGATCGCACACTGTTGCCACATGGCCATGGACCTAAATGAATGTATGAACTCCCTGGCTGGCTATGTGGATCTTGTACTGCGGCCTTCCGAGGCTTAGCAACCAGCCGAACAACCACACTGAATAGTGAGAATTCCAAGGCATCCGAGGACGCTCCACTCCACGCGTCGCAGCACGGTAGTGGATCTCTATCTCGAACTCAAGTGTGATGAGTTTTGGTCCGAGGTCTTGGATCTTCACAGGTTGAACGGGTGATTACACTGCTTGATGATTGCGGGCCAACAGCTGCTGGGCCTCAGCTGAGCGAAAACATGTGCAAACACATTTCGAATCGCGAGGGAGATGGATCCAAATGAATCGCGAGGGATCGAATCCGGGTTCAGCCTGTCTCGGCTCGGGCGACAAAACTGGTTACGAAAATGGTTACGAAGTCTGCTGCGTGCAGCTGGTTTCGGGGCCGCCGCCGGGCAGGTTCTTTGATAAACTTGCACCTGCGGCGCCCGAATGCGCCCGACAAACCAGCTAGATGGACCGATTCTATGACCCCCCATTGCACCCTCTGTCATGTTAGGCAGTGCCATAGACATCGGTCTGGCAGCCCATTGTTTGGCCGAGACCCGCCGTGGCTTGAGAGGCCCCTCCGCTGATCGCTCATCGTTCATTGTGGCAGCACGATGAAGGTATGCGGGCTTTCTCGTTGTTGTTCCCCTGCGCACTGGCGGAGCCGACGCAGCTAGACAGGCCGATGCAGGGCTGCTATAGCGGTCCGACTCGATCCGATCCGACCCCATGCATGTGTCCCAGATGAGGAGAATCGGTACGATAGAAATGAGCACAGAAAGAACGGGGGCGAAGATTGACAACACTTCTTGTCCATTTGGGATAGGGTTCGCTGTCGGTGCCGCCGCTGGCGCTGCCCATTTAAGGCAGAAGGCCGTCTGCCCAGCAGCGTCCGCTGTCGGTGTTGCCCAGTTGTTCCGTTCCCACTTTGGGCGTCCGTAAGGAAGATACCGATATTGTTGGAGGAAGGTTCCTTGTGGTTGAGCCCCTATGGTATCCACATCCGTCTCCCCATCGGGCCCCAGGACACATCGGTTCCCCGGCGGTTGGTCTTGAGAACTCCCCGCCTCGCACCCGACCCTTCCCCCCTTCCCAACGACGACGACGATAACGACGTCGACGCAACGACGACGACGCGTCGCGCAGAGTTTATTTCTTTTCATCATCTACCCATCGGTCGTTGAAAGTAGGTACCTCTGGAGCCCCATATTCCAATCTACTTTAGGCACCTTCCTACTTCAATGATCGAGTGGCTTCCCCTCTTCCCTCCTCTTTAGGGGGCGGGCGGAGACCCAATCTACTTTCTACGCCTTCCTACTTTATGTGTCTACCAATTTCTTCCGACCGATGTGTAATGGTTTTCGGCCCATCCCGCCACTGTGCCTGGGTTGTGGGTCAGAATTTCTCAGGGGTGCTGCTTGGGGTCTCTTCGGAGCGCTCTTGGGGGCCTCTTGGGGGCAGTTCTGAGGCTTCTTGGAAGCCTCTTGGGAGCATCTTGGAGGTCTCTTGAGGCCACCTTGGGGGGCCTCTTGGGACCTCCTGGGGGCCCCTCGGGGCCGAGGGCTCGCAATGTCCGCTGGGTTCCCCCATCTGGGCCCCCTCTTGGAACCGTGTTTGGGGCCCTTTGGGCCGTCTTCGGCGCCTCTTGAGCCGTCTTGGTGGGGCTCTCTTGGGCCGTTTTGTGGTTCTCTTGGAGGGCTCTGGGCGCCGTCTTGGGGCGATATTGGGGACCTCTGGGGCCGAACGCGAAAAACCTTCAAAGCCAAATGAACATCAATGATTTTGGCCTCTTGGGGCGGTCTCTTCGACCGTCTTGTGGCCATCTAGAGCGTCTTGGAGCGATCGTTCGGCGACTCGGTGCCCTCTTGGGTCGTCTCGAGGGCCTCCTGGGGCCCTCTTGGCCGTCTTGGGGTCCTCTTGGGCCTGGACAAGTCGCGCGACCAGATGCGCCAGACCCCATGGGGGCCCCATGGGGACTTGGCACTTTGGGCCCCGGGCCCCCGAAGCCCGTAGCATCGAGGGCGCCCTCGATGGCGCGAAGTTTTTCGCGCTTCGCGCTTTGCGCTTCGGCTCCGATTCCTCCTCATCCTCCTCTTCTCCCCTGGGAGGTGGCGCGAGAGCGCGAAGTTACTCGCGCTTCGCGCAGCGCGAAGCGCGAAGTTGGGAGCCCTTATAGCATCGAGGGCCGAGGCTCAGGGGCTTGGGCAGGGGATCTGAGGACACGCCCGCTCCGTGCCCAGCGGCACGGTGGCGAAGAGGTGTGCGCGTTGAAAATCCTCGGGAGGGGGAAAAAAAAAACAGACACAATGAATCGTCGACTCCCAGGAGAATATGCGAAAATATGGGAAGTGGGGGGGGGAAGACAAAAACCCAGAAAATATGCGACAATATGGGGAATCTTTGTATGTGTGTGTATTTATTTCTGTGTCCCAGGGCCCCTTCAAATCCGAGCGGTTCGACTGCCATCAGAAGTCTGGCTCTACTCTTCAAGGCTTCCTAGATGGGGTCGGAGCAGATGGGGGTCGGAGGATCGCGCCGCATCGCCGACGCATGGTCAATGCGGCTGGATGCGGAGACCGTGTTCCCCCACGCCGGTGGCGTCGATGCGTCGCCGACGTCGCCGATGCATCGCCGATGCATCGGTGATGCATCGGCGATGCATCGGCGATGCATTGGCGATGCGGCGCGATCCTTCGACCCCACCTACTCGGACCCCATCCAGGAGGCCTCTGAAAATGACATAAAAGTCCGCGCGGATTTTTTGGCTCCGCGCGGGATCCGCGGGACCCCCATCTAGGAGGCCGCTAACTCTGCGACGGACAGCGGTTCCGAGTTTTGGAGGCCCGCAGGGCGGACATCCCCCGGCCACGAGGGGGCGGGCCGCTCGAGGCGGAGGACGCGAGAGCGGGGCTGCGCAGAGGCGGGTAGCGTTCTGCTCCGCCCTCCCAGGGGTGAAGTCGGGCACGTCCCTCGACAGGAGGCATATTCGAACACAGTCCACAAAACATGGTCTGGGGACTACCTGTTTACACGCCGGTCGTTGAAAGTAGGTATTTCTGGACTCCCAGAGCCCAATCTATTCCAAGCGCCTTCCTGCTTCAGGAATCGGGGTGCTTCGGCTGCGTTTTGCTACTGTTTGGGAGGGTCTGAACCCAACCTACTTTATCCGCCTTCCTACTTAATGTTCTTACCTACTTTTTCCGACCGACGTGTATATTATTTCGGGGTATTGTTTAAGCATGTTTGGGCTATGTTTTATCCGTAAGGGCTTCGCCCCCTGCCGCCGGCCCCCTCTCTCGGAGAATGGGCCATGGAAGAGCTAAGTCATGAGGCCTTGGCGCTGTCGTGAAGCAGTATCGAAACTTCATGCGAAGCCGATTCGCAATCAGCAAAACCAACTGATCACAAGAGGGGTTACCACACCTGGCGATTGGTAAGACGTGTATGGTTTACGGGCTTGGTTACCACACCTTGCGATTAAAGGGCCGAGGGAGTTCTCGCAGTTTGGGTTACCACGCCTTGCGATGGATGTGCGTGAAGGGTGGCACCGAATTTCAGAAATGTGGCAAATCCCCTGTGTTTTTGGACCCTGACCCCGCGGATCTGCGTGAGGGGTGGCACCGAATTTCAGAAATGTGGCAAATCCCTTGTGTTTTTGGACCCTGACCCCGCGGATCTGCGTGAGGGGTGGCACCGAATTTCAGAAATGTGGCAAATCCCTTGTGTTTTTGGACCCTGACCCCGCGGATCTGCGTGAGGGGTGGCACCGAATTTCAGAAATGTGGCAAATCCCATGTGTTTTTGGACCCTGACCCCGCGGATCTGCGTGAGGGGTGGCACCGAATTTCAGAAATGTGGCAAATCCCATGTGTTTTTGGACCCTGACCCCGCGGATCTGCGTGAGGGGTGTCGATTTCGAGCCCCCCCAGCAATTCAGACAACGCGCCCAGGGGGTGCTAAAAAGCCGGTTTGGGCCTCCCCCCCCCTCGCGCGGTCAATCAACTAGTTACAGTAACCAGCAATAAGTCAACTAGTTACAGTAACCAGCAAGAAGCAGAACTGTAACACTGGAAACTACAACCTACGACTGGTACAGGAAACTGCGAATCACGGGCCTACAGCCTGGTGGCCCCACAAGGGGGCCGGCGGATTTTCCTTCAAAATCCGCCTGTATGAGGACATGCCCGACCTATCCTAGGGCTTGCTCGGTGCCCGACTCGTTCTGCCAATGCCTGTCGGCGTCGTAAGGCCTTCAATAGAGCATCCGCGA